GGGGGGGGGGGGTGTCTTTTGAAAGGACAGGAAGCCAGGCCCGTGAGCAGCATGTGGGCACGGCCGCTGGCATCTTTGGTTCAGTCGAACATACGAAGGTAACACGAGCTTGAGCATTCCACGAAATATGAGAGCGAACGCACACGGAATGCTGAGGCCGAACTCTAACCCTGGTATGGAACCAAAACACAATCTGCTACAACGAACTACCAATGCCGTTCCATTAAATCCCATGAGGTATCGATGCTTTAAACAGATGAATCAGAACAGAAGCGGGACTATTTTCTTCTGCACGTTCTACGTAAAACATTAGCTCTTCGTCCCATCGTAGGAGATGAATACCTTCAACATAGTTTAAGGTGTTTACGCCTTTGAACCCCCAGAGGGCAAACCATTCAGCAGCTAAAGGAAAAACAGAGGAAGTGCTCTGAGAAAGCAGCATCCAAATATTCCAGGAGAACGGATGCTAATACTGCCACCATCTACCAATCGACCCATAACCTTGATCATCTTGGCCGTGAGGTCAGGCCACAGTGGAGTAATCTAGGGTGGAGGGGGGGGGGGCTTCGCATGGCTTCCTGTCCTTTCAAACCTGCAGGGGTGTTGACTTGCACTGCTAGGAAGAAGAAAAGAAAAACACCTGTTGAACAGATCTGCATATATCAAGGATAGTAAAGGTAACGCATGTAGGATTTTCTCTCAATACCCATTAACAGTACATTCTGTAGCCCCTAGGTTTGCTGTGGGGGCTTTTCCTTCTTCATTATATGGGTAAGAATATCACTCTGTTTTTCCCATAGGGAAGTCGCCCTAACAAAAGCACAGATTCTTCTCTACCGCTCTACGGTGACATCTTCCGGTATTTAACAGTGCGCCGCTATAACTCATTTCGAGACGAAACTCTAAAGAGAAAATCTTACATGCAGCATCTTTAAAGTATGATATGATCGATGAGTCCGCATGACGTCACGAGCGCGTGACCACCCCAATATGAGGTCAGATAGCACCATATTTGTCTTTTAAATCTCTTAATGTTTAATAAGAGCGTCTAAGCCATAGATCAAGCATATCATGGATAAAACCATAGGTCTCATACTCATACGTACATGCAACTGAATACATTGCATGTGTACACAAAGACATATATGTAAAAGAGCATGGTCAATTTGGTTTTGCAGCAGAAGAATTCAGGTTGTGCTGTGTTAAATGGGCCTGGGGATCAAGGCGTGACTGTTCCTCTTTTTCATGTAGTGTATATTTAACAAGGAGATGGTGTTCCCATGGTTTTTACACACTAAGGTCAACGACACCACAGAGCCCCGACAGTATTTTAAGAGAATGTGTTTATGTGGGGCTTTCAAAATCGGAAAGAATGGAGGACCAGCAGCTGGGAGAGCTAACAGGACACTGCAGGCATACAGAAGCCCCCATATGTCTAACTTAGTATTAGCATTCAAGTGAGGAAAGGCCCTTTCCTACACTGTGGTGTGAAGATGGGAGCTGGGAAACCATGGGACAGAGGAACAGTCAGAGCAACATCCGTCGGCCCATCATTTATTAAATCATTAGTTTAAGGCAACACAACTTAAATCTGGGTCATTTCGGGTTACTGTGGATGGAGTGCCAAAAGCCCTTGACATTTTTTGCATAAAGAAAAAATAACCTGTCAGTTAGTAAAGGCTGTTACCAAAAACATGTCAAGTAACGACAACCTCTCACAAAATTCCAGTTGGCAGAACTGAACGCCAAACCCAAAGCGAGCGTCTCACGCCCCTCAAAGACATTCTAGAGAAGTGAATCCAACTAGCCTGATGTGTGTGTGGATGTGACTCACGATTGATAGTAGGATGGGAAATGGCTTCTGAAGTCCTAACAAAGCCCTGGCTTTTTCATAGACTTAAAACAGCAAGGGCACGGATTCTGCTCGAACTAATTCAACAGTGTTTGCTCCAACCTAGTGACACAACAAACATTTCCAGTCCCCACAGTGTGTTAGAGAACGGTGGAGGTGCGGTTTCAACAACTCCATCAGCTTCTAAAAGACGCGATCACATGCACATCTAAAGGACACAGACAGGTGAATCACACACACCTCCTTTGTGCGTCACGTGGTGCATCTTCATTCAAAATGACAGTTTCAATACATCATACTTTGTGAACGAGTGGCAAAATGGTTAGCTAAACTCTGAAGAGGCAAGATAATGTTTCCACGACGACACGGGCAATATACAAGACGGATGACTGAAACCACAGGGTTTGACTAGCATTCAGTGATGGTGTGAGTTTGCATTCAGATGACCCAAAATCCTTTAATTGGTATGCAAAAACTTGGAGCTAAACAAGACTTTTACAAAAGTGGAGTAAAAAGAGAATATGGCTTTTTTTAAAAGCGTGTCCCTGACAAGTGACTCCCTGCCAGTAAGCTTCAGCAGACAGTACATTTAAATGAAATTTGTCATGCACTTTTTTTAATCTAGGGACAAAGGGAGTTGCACCTGCTCCCACATTCCAATGCAGGGAAATCAGACCAACTTGTGTCCCATTTTTGAATAGATAACTAATAAATCCCCTGCACAGACATGATTATCCTCAGACAAAATGGCTTCCTCCACATTTATCTAAAATTTAAAAGAAAAGGGACTACAAGTTCCAACACAAAACACTACAAATACTTAGAGGGGAGGTTTCCAAAAACAAAACAAATATCTGTAGGGAA